CCCCAAAACCCCAAAACCCCAAAACCCCAAAACCCCAAAACCCCGAAAATATAAATATATAGACCTATTCTCTAATATATTATATATTTATTACAACCATAATGATGAACTTTTCCTCGAGAGTTACGAAGAAATTGTGCCCATACTTGAAGAATTCAACTGTAAGAGAAGAGGCAGCCAGTACTGCTTACTCCTTGCCTGATGCTATGAAGCAATGCCCTTACGTCAAGGATCTCTACTCTGGTTTTGGTGTTGAAGACCAAAAGGATACAAATAATTTGGAGAGTAGCCCCAGAAAACTTGGGATTATCCCATCCTCTTCAAACCAACCTAAGCTGTTCAAAATGGAGCAGTCAGAAACATCTTGTAAGTGTAAAGACTTCTATGCTGATGAAAAGAAGGCTGAATGCCCAATGAAATCTAGTGAGGAGATATCTGAAAGTAACCCAACTCAGTACGATCATAAATTCGATGACGCGATTACTCAACTGAAAGATGAAGGTAGATACAGGAAATTTATTAACGTTGAAAGACATATGGGAAGCTTCCCAAGAGCTACAAGAAGAGAGCAAAAGGACAAGTCTGAGGTGGTAGTCTGGTGTTCCAATGACTACCTAGGCATGGGGCAGCATCCCAAGATCCTAACAGCTATGCATAACGCCATAGATAATTCGGGTGCAGGTTCTGGAGGAACAAGAAATATCGGAGGAAATACTAAGTACATCGAAGAACTTGAGAACGAAGTAGCTCAACTTCATGGAAAAGAGAAGGGTCTTATCTTCTCTTCCTGTTATGTTGCAAATGAGACCACTTTGACCACTCTCCCTCAGATTTTAGGCCCAGATACAATTTATTTCTCGGATTCTAAGAACCATGCTTCTCTAATTCATGGAATGAGAAATGGAAGATGTGACAGGAAGGTATTTAGACATAATGATGTTGAGCATTTGGAAGAGCTGCTCAAAGAAACGGATATTTCAAGGCCAAAGATCATAGTCTTTGAGAGCGTATACTCCATGTGTGGAACTGTCGGCCCTATTAAGGAAATCGTTGACCTAGCTGAAAAATACGATGCTTTGTGCTTCCTTGATGAAGTCCATGCAGTTGGTCTTTACGGACCATCTGGTGCTGGGGTAGCTGAGCTTATTGAAAGTCATAGTGACAGAGTTATGATTTCTGGAACACTTGGAAAAGGCTTTGGTGTTTACGGAGGATATGTCACTGGAAATGCTAATCTGATCGACGTGGTAAGAAGTAATGGTGCAGGGTTCATCTTCACCACATCTTTACCACCTACTGTCTTAGCTGGGGCTAAAGCTAGTATTAACCACTTAAGAACTTCTCAAAAAGAGAGAAGTAAGCATAGATACAACACTAGCACTTTATTAGGAAAGCTCATCGACCAGAATTTGCCTGTAATGAAATCGGATTCGCATATCTTGCCTTTATTCATTGGAAATCCAGTTATGGCTAGGACTGCTTCAGACATGCTTCTAGATGAATTCAATATCTATGTACAACCTATCAACTATCCAACCGTTCCAAAAGGAGAGGAGAGACTCAGAATCAGTCCTTCACCTCTCCATACCGAACAGATGATGGATGATTTTGCAGGAGCTGCTAGAGAAGTATGGACTAATTTAGGTCTAAAGCTACTTGACGACTACCTCGTTGAGCCAGAAATGCATGAAAAGTTCTTCCTTCCTGCAAAGAAGGGAAAGAAGATAGACATTGGTGACAACCACCTTTACACTTACATGGACAGCCTTATTTTGTAGTCCATTTCACTTTACTACGCTTTTTATAAGCATTACGGAAAATAAAAGGGGTTTTGGGGTTTTGGGGTTTTGGGGTTTTGGGG